GTTGCAGATGGTCCCCCATTAAACCTTTGAGAAAGAGGCCAGCAGCTGCCTTAATTCAGTGTCTGCTCTGTTGGCCTGTGCAACTGCTGCATTGAGAGAATTGTGCTATACTCATAATATCGTTTGACCTGCACTCAATGGAAGACTCAACCATCCAATATTAAAAGCACTGTCATTTCTCCTCTGGCCTATAGAGTGTGACAAAGAAGGTCACAATTATAAAGATGAATATTCTTTCTCTAAGCTTTCCACATTCTATCTCCAGGGCTGGCCATTCAAGAACAGAGAAAAAAAGGTTTCCCCTTCCTGACTGAACCCAGAAAAGTTGTTCTTCTTAACCTCTTTGAGAAACCCCAAGTGAGTACCCAAACCCACGATTCCAACTCACAATGGTCCTATATAGGGTTTCCAAGGTAGGAAATCTGTAGGGGAGAAAAAAATGAAGGCGTTTTCCTACTGTAAGAAACAGACGTTGATAGCAGAGTGGGAAGGGAAGCGGAAGTGAGAGGCTACAGAGTGGATCGGTGTTGATGGGTAAACAGGAAGAGAGAGGGGGGTAAAAGAGTGGAGATGGGACTCGGGCATGCCCTGGGGAGGATTGATGTTATTGAAGTTATTGACTGTACAATGATCCAATACATAAACGCTCCCCCCACCTAATTTACAAGAAAAAGTTCATTACCATCTTGATGGGATAGATGGCCTCATCTTTTTCCTGTGAAACAGCTGGTGGCTTTGAACCCTAAACTTGTGGTTAATGGTTCAACACTTACCAATGGCACCATCAGCCATCCTTAAAAGCTAGTCGCATTCTGTATACTCACACTCACTGCCAGGGAGTCCATTCTACCTCCTACCAACCCTGTAGGACAGAGCAGAATTGCCTCGCGGGGCTACTGAGACCACATCTTTCTTTCACAGACTGGCTGGGGAATGAAAGTGCGGCTGACCTTGGGGATTCAAGCTGCATTCCAGCGCAGAACCCACTCTGCCACCAGGGCTCCTGCGTAGTTTGTTAAAAACACAGGTTCGAAGCCTCCATCGCAGAGCCTGACTCAGTAACTCTCAGGTTGTGCTTCCTAAGTGCCCATAAGAGGCCATTCCGGCCCTAATGTAACAGCAGAGCAAAGTGCTGCCAGGGCCCGCGCCAGCCTCACAATGCCTCCGCCTGAGCCCACTGGTACAGCCCCTGCGTCAGTCCATCCCATGGAAGGTCTTCCTCTTTTTCACTGCACACACGATGTCTCTTTCCACAGACTGGGCTCTCCTGCTTCTAAACAGCATTCTGGTTGTACTTCTTGTAAGATTCATCTGTTGTTCTAGTAAGACCTGGTATATTCAATATCCTTTGCCAACGCATCATTCAAATGCATTGTCATCGTCAGCCTTTCTTCATTCAATGTCCACCTTTCAGAATGCAGATGAGGTGACTGGAAATATCATGGCTTGGAAGTGACCCACCAGTAGCCAGACAACAACAACAACAACAACAACATGTGGATGATTTGTTGTTCACCCCTTCAAGCCTCCCTCCCAGGGACCCAGTGATCGTGGTGTGTGCTCTTCAGTGATGCTCCCCACATGCCTAGAACATGGTGCCTGGCACAGAATGAGATCCCAATAAAAGTTTATTGATGGAATGAAGGAAAAAAAAATAATCGTGGCTTAGGCTAGGTCCACCATAGTCCTCCAAGTGGCATCCTGTGCAGCAGATTATTCCATTGCAATATGTCATTTGAATTTGTGACTGCTGCTTCCATGAGCATTGATTGTTGATCCAAACAAAATCAATTCCTCAGCAACTTTGATCTTCTCTCTATTAATCAGGATGTTACCTAATGGTCCACTTGTGAGGAGTGTTGTTTTCTTTACATTGAGTTGTCATCCGCACTGAAGGCTGCAGTCCTGGATCTTTCATCAGCCGGTGTTGCAAGTCCTCCTCACTTTCAGCAAGCAAGGTTGTATCATCTGTGTATCTCGGATCGTTAGTAAGTCATCCTTCCAGTGAAGTGAACGAGCTGAACTACATTTCAAAGGGCAACTTAAAGACAAAGTAAAGTAGGATAATGAAATGTTCAGAGACCCAGAGTTAGAAAACCAAAGCAGAATATGCCCAGCGTATCTCAAGCCAAAAGAATTGAAGAAAAAATTCGAGCCTCAAGTTGCAATATTGAAAGATCCCATGGGCAAAATAGTGATTGATGCAGAATATATCAACAGGAGATGAAAGAAATACAGTCCCTGTCCCCAAAATAGTTAGTTGGCAGCCAACCATTTTAAGAGGTAGCATATGATCATGAACCAATGGTACTGAAGGAAGAAATCCAAGCTTCATTGAAGAGCTTAGGCAAAAACAAGGCTCCGGGAATTGATGGAATACCAATCGAAAGACTTCAACCAGCTGAGAAGCACAGAGCACTGGAAGCACTCCCTCATCCTTGTCAAGAAATTTGGAAGAAAACCACCTGGCCAAGAGATCCATGGCTGTACCCATTCCAAAGAAAGTTGCCTCAACAGACTGTGGGAACTATCAAACAAAATCATTTGTATCACATGCAAGGAAGATGTTGCTGAAGATCATCCAACAATTGTTGCAGCCAGCCGTACATTGACGGGGAGCTGCCAGATTCAGAAGACGATGTGGAACTGAGGATACCATTGCTGATGTCAGATAGATCTTGACTCAAAGCAGAGACTACCAGAAAGATGTTGCTTGTGTTTTACTATGCAAAGGCATTCAACTGTCGAAACCAACCATGGATAACATTGAGAAGAATGGGAATTCCAGAACCCTTCATTGCGCTCATGCGAAACCTATACATGGATCAGAGCCAGTCATTCAAACAGAACAAGAGAATACTAAGTGGTTGAAAATCAGAAAAGGTGTGTGTCGAGGTTGTATCCTTTCACTGTACTTATTCAATCTGTACGCTGAGTTAATAACCCTAAAAGTTGGACTTGTACAAAGGTTAATATGGCATCAGGATTGGAGGAGGTCTAAGGCAGGATCTGGAAATCTTGATTTGAACAAGCTCCTCGGGGGATTATGATACTGGTGGCCAGAAGACTACATTTAAAAAAGAATAATTTTATTGGGGGTTCATACAACTCATCACAATCCATGCATCCATCCATTATGTCAAGCACATTTGTACATTTCTTTCCATCATCATTCTCAAAACATTTGCTTTCTGCTTGAGCCCCTGGCATCAGCTCATTTTTCCCCTCCCTCCCCATCCCCCATCCCTCACCCTTGATAATTTATAAATTATCCTGTGATATTACCACCGCCATTGGATCCGCACGACTTTGCACCCACCAGCCTGTGATCCTCCTGCATTCTGCGTCATTGCATGTGGCTGCGTGAGTCTGAAGAGGGACTTATGGACTAGTATCGGACTTGGGGATTTCACGATCTTGTTTGTCTGTCCTTGTTTGTTATGGTTGTTGTTAAGTGCCATCAAGTCAATTTTGACCCAAGTGACGGAGTAGACCTGCACCACAGGGTCATGAGCCACGCCCCATCCAAGATGGTTCAGGGGCCTCAGAACCAACCCTGTGAAGTTTCCCAATCATCAGGAGCATGTGCATCTCAGCCATGGCTTCTCTCCCAGCTCTGTAGTCCCACTTTTGACTGATCTGCTGCTAATCATAGATTTGTGACAACTTCCTTGGTTGCATGTCCTGTGGAAGTAGCCATGCGGCTGGGAATCCTTGGACATCATGAGGCCCTCGTGCTGACCCGTGTCCCTCATCTGGTGGTGTTTTGTCATTGTCTTAGGCCTGTGTAAGACTGAATAAAAAGACCTATCTAGACCTATGTTTTACAATCATCTTGAGATTTTTAAAATCATAACCAACTGGGGATCCTTAGAAGCTAGATTCTGACTCGGTTGGTGTGAGGTAGAAAGGCAAACTCTCAGCAGGGGGTCCAACTCGAAGAAACTGCTTCAAAGCTCTGGAGCAGACCATTCACACTTCAGAGCTGAGGTGAGGATCCACCTGTTTTCCCCACCCCCATCTTGTGATTGGAGCTTTAGCCCTTTGAACTTCAGCATCTAGTGCATGAGACTGGCGTGAGACTGCCCCTCATCCTTCAAGGCTTAGCTTAGTTCCTCGCCAAGACCCAGTCACTTTGCCCAGGGCCCACCCAGCTCTGGACCTCATACTCCATAGGCCTGTTGGACATCAGTCTGAAAGAGCCCTGATAACAGTGCGTTGCAGGGTTGTGTTTAGATGCAGGCTCCCCCAACCAATGTTCTTAGAAACAAGGATTCTGCTTTATTCCCCTTAAACACCCCGTGACTGGTCCAGGGAATCCTCTCCATCACCCGAGGGCAAGTTAGAGAGGGAGGAAGCCTGGAAAGTAGAGGCTTCATTCACCTTGTCTGCCCCTCCTCCTCCTCTCCATGTTCACCTGCATAAGACAGGGTCCAGGGGATATGTACAGATAAATCATTGATGATGTCATTCAACATGCCAACATTCTCCTGCAGGGCCTTGGCATAATATCTTTATTAAGCTCAGGTAGCGATATGCCAAACACTGCTGGAAACTTGGGTTAGAATTTTCTCCCTTGCATAAAATAAATGGCTCTTAAACTATAACATGTGATCAATGCAAACATGCAAGTACAATGTAGGCTAGAATAAAAAGGCCTTGCGTAGAAACTTTTTAAAAAAAGGCATTTTCATACAGAGCATAGGGAAGGGCTCGAATGAAATGTGATTGAAATAAACCCTCTGACCGCAGCCTGGGGCTTGGGTACAGCATGCCCTCTGCCCTCGGCGGCTCATGGAGACACAGGTCCCCAGTCCTTCTGGGACAGGAGCCGCAGCCTCACTGAGCCAGGAGGAAGCCCTGCTCCTGCCCGCTGGGAGGGCAGAGGAAGGTGGTCTTCCCACACCAGTCAGCTACATGGCTTCGCCTTGTTCAAGTGCAGCACCCACTTCTCTGCCAGTATCTGGGGCTGCCTTCACTCTCCACTGCTCCCAACTATTAAAACTGGGCAGTCTTCCAGCTTGCCACTGCCCCCCCAGGGTTTCCAGAAAATTCTTCAATGAGTCACAGAGGCGTCAGGACTACCTAGCTTGACCAGACCTCGTAACCCCAGCACACTTCAGAAGGCTGCCTCAGTTCCTGTGTGAACTCTGCTGTGTCCACTGTGTGTGGTCAGCACGCAGAGGGGTGTGTCCACTCACACCCAGACAGCAAAAAGTCAGCCAGACCAATGGGTGTGAGTTTCTGGGCAAAGCTTGAGCCCCCTGACCTGGCTGCCCACATAAGCCAGGTAAACAGGGTCTAGCCCTGGAACACCGAGGCCCCTACGATCGCAGCTGCACCTGGAAGTGTTCACAGCGGGGGTGCTTCATGGTCAGCCCATAGATGGGGGTCATGTCCACCTTCTTGCCTGGCAACACGCTGAACTCCATCTGTTGCAGCAGGATGGCCAGGAAGAGGAAGACCTCCCAGCGGGCAATGGTCTCCCCGATGCACTTCCGCTTGCCCATGCCAAAGAGAATCACCCTCTCGCTCAGCACCTTGTTGACGGTGCCATCTGTGGCGAGAAACCTTTCAGGCCAGAACTCAGATGGATCACCCCACAGCTTCCTGTAACCAGAGTGAGGCAGCTGAAGTGGCAGGTTGAGGGCCTAGAACCCCAAATGGGTTACTCCCCAACCCCACAGGGTAAGGGATGGGTAGGTGGCCCAGGGACAGGACGGCCTCAAATTTGGAGGAGGATGAACCCAGCCAGTCTGGTCAACTTACTGGTCATGGTTGATTTGCCACTGGTTCACAAAGACACAACGGCCCTTGGGGATGTAAAAGCCATTCAGAGTGGTGTCTCTCGTGGTGCTGGGAAGGGAAGGAAGCTTGGTCAAGTTGGGGGACCATACAGGTAGCCCCTGCCTCCCAGGCCATGTCCCTCCCCCTAGCGCTGAGGCAGGGCATGGACTGGGTTCAAACCCAGCCGGGGATAGCAGTGGCTCACGGGGCCTCACCTGTGTGGGATGGTGAAGGGCAGGAAAGAGGAGTGTCGGAAAGTCTCTAGGATGAAGGCTTCCAGGTAGGGGAGCTGGAGCCTGTCGGAGAGTCTGGGCTGCCTCGCCCTGCCAATCACTGTGTCTACAGAACACAAAGGACCGGATGGGGCTCAGAGGCTGCCCAGGCCTTGGCCAGGCCCCTTGTGGGGAGCTTTTGGAGGGGGTCATCACCTACCCAGTTCTTCCTGGATCTTTCTCTGTACCCTCGGGCTCGTCACAAGGTACATAAGGCTCCAGGAGATGGCGGTTGTGACTGTGTCAAAGCCTGAACAGGGTGGAGTCGAGAGCAAGGTTAAAGCGACGACGGGTCAGGGAAGATGGGCATGGAAAGGACAGGATAGGGGAGTCCATACCAGCTCCGAAGAGGTCCATGACGACATTAACAATCTTGCTGTCGGACAACTGAATGTTCGCGTTCTCATCGAGCTTCTTGTCCTGACAGTGCTCAATCAGGCTGTCTGTGATGTCCCGGATGTGGCCCTGGGTAGACAGAGGGCCAGGGATGAGCAAAATCCCAAATGCACACCCACCCCACCATCCTGGTCTGGCCCCTCGCCATCACTAGCATTTTGCTGAAGAGGAGATCCCAGCTACTGCCTGCCTCTCTGAAGCTTGTGCCTGCTTTAAAATACCGGCAATCTCTTCTCCAGGGGCGGACACACAGAACTATGACCTCTATTGGAGAGTGGATTGACTAGCCAGTGAGCATTGCTATCTGGGGAATGGGCAGATCAAGAAAAAGGCCTATCTCCCAGCCAAGGATCGACTCCACTCCATTCAAACTCACTGCCACCGCATCACGCCGACTCAAGGCACACCTACAGGACAGGGCAGAACTGCTCCTGTGGGTTTCTGAGACTAACTCTTGATGAGGGCAGAAACCTCATCTTTCTCCCGAAAAGCAGCCAGTGGTCTTGAGCTGCTGACCATGCAGTTAGCAGCTCAACACATAACCCACTACCCCACTAAGGCTCCGACCACTCCACCAGTGGTTGCTAAACCCTAAGTGAGGTCTCCCTTGAAGGTCTGTCAAGCATCCTGCCACTCCTCTCTCTGACTTCTTGCCCCTGAACCAATGCTCCCCCGCCCCCCACCCCACATCCCTCCAGTGTTTCCCCAACATGCACCTTCTCAAAGGTCTTGTAGTGCTCCTCGACTATTTTCTGGATGAAAACAAAAAACTTTTCATTCAGGTCCTTGAAGCCCTTCAGGATGGAGTTGGGCAGGTAGCGGAGGATGGGGATGAAGTCGGCGGAGTTTCCAGAAGCGATCACCTCCCCAAACTCATTACTCAAGTTGACTAAGCTAAGAAGCTCTTGGTCGTCGTGGTCATAGCGGCGGCCAAAGCAAATGGCAGAGATGACGTTGGCCACCGACACCACCAAGTACCTACAAGGGTCAAAGTGCCCATCCTGTGCCATCAGCCCCTGGAACTTGTTGATGAGAAACTCGGCCTCCTTGCTCACGTGCTCCTCCAGGTAGCAGGAGGACGCAGAGGCTGGGTCTGCGGCCATGGAGAAGCTCTTCAGGGCGTTCTGGGCCAGGCGCCGGCGAGTAGCCCACACTGGTCCAGAGTCAGGGTTGAAGGTCAGGCTCTGACCATCAGCGACCAGGCTGAAGCTGTAGAGGTCAGGTCGGCCCTTGAAGTCATCCCCCTGTCGCACCAAGGCCTGCCGGATGGTGTCCAGGCCGCTGAGCACCAGCACAGGTGTGCTGCCAATGCGCACCTGCAGCACGTCCACATACTGCTGGCTCAGCCGCGCCAGCGCCAGGTGCGGGTTCTTCCCCAGGGTCAGCACGTGTCCGATCAGGGGCCAGCCCCAGGGCCCTGGGGGACTCTTCAGGCCTTTAGGGACCGGTGTCTTCCAGGTTCTAATCCCCCAGCATACCAGGCAGAAGATGGCAGAGGCCAGAAGGAGCTCGGTGGCCGAGACGGCGAGTCCAAACACAGAAAGCATGGTCAGCTTCTGGTCTCTAGGAGGCTGCTTAGAAAGGAGGGCAAGACCTCAGCTTGGGGAATGAGGAAAGTAAGGATCTAAAGTCCAGCATGCGGTCCGTGAGAGGGGAAACCCTGCCCCACAGAACTGGTCCCTGGGAGAGAAGGGGCCAAGGAGGTGGGGAAGAGCTGTTTGTTTAACTCCCACCTAGGACAAGAATCTCAGTCACTGCTTCCTACAGTTCTGCCCATAAGCTTATGAGGCTGGCGGCCCTGAGGCTCAGAGAGGGCAACTTGCCCAAACTCAGACAGCCCAGAAGTGTGGGCTGGCTCTAGGCTCCTAACCTAAGCAGTCCATTCCCACAATCCTCTCTCTTGAACTGTTGCGAAAATTTAAAACAACGTTTACCAAATGTCAGTGTGATTTCCCTACAGGTCAGTGTTTTAGAAAACCACCTTCCTATTCAGCCACTGGCACCATACGAAACAGGAATGTCTCAGTGGGAGTGCTGGTTTGTTAGGACGTGTGAAAATAAACCCATCTGTTATCACCAGAAGTCCCTTTAAGTGTGACCACCCTGCTGGGAAAACACCCCAATGGGAAGGAATTAGAGATGGTCCCCACCATTAACCTCATTTCACATTTGGGGAAACCGGCCTCCGGAAGAGGCACCACCTAAAGCCACTGGGGCTCAGACCTCTGCAAAAACTTCCTTGGGAAGCTTCTAGCTCCTGTCCCAGGTACCACCTTGGAAGCCCTCAGGGGTTCTCCACTGCTCAATCTCAGGCTCTAGGAATTCCCACAAGATACTGGGACAGAGGGGAAGGAAGCAGGGGACAAGGCAGACACTGCTCATGTCACACTACCTCAGACCCAGGTGCACGGGGCTCTCCTATGTGCAACTGACCCACAGTTTGAATGTAGCCCGAGACCAGCGAGATCGAGGCTCCCGGTCCTAGAAATCCAGGGCAGGGTTTTTGTTGTGCTCGATTCTAATGAATGAACAAAGGCGGGAGCTGCTCCGACTTGCCAGTCTAGGGAAGCGTCCCATTAACCAGGCCTGCCAGAAAAGTTGGGACTGGAATTTTGGAACTCAGGAATGGATCTGAACCTTTGTGTCCAGGCGGGGTCTAGGAGTGTCTGCAGAAAAGGTGTGCAAACTTATGGATCCAGCTTGCTGAGGTGTCAGGCTCTGAGTGTTTGCTCTGTGTAGTGGACTGCAGGTCGGGAGCCCAGCGCTCCATGAAGAGCCCTTGGACTCTCCATGTTATCTCCCTGGGCTCTATCTAGTCAGACTGCCTGAGGAACCTGGGTCCTCCCTGACCACCCAGGGAGAAGTGCACCTGCTCCCAGCTTCCCTCAGCTGGGTTTTCTCTCCAGCCTCCCAGGCCACCCTGATGGAGAAAGCCCAAGGTGGCCGGGAGTCCTTGGGTGTTGGAATTGGAGCCTAAGAGGAGGTGCATCTCAAAGTCTTTGGGTCCCTGGGTAAAGTCTTGCCCTTCCCCTGGCCTCGTTCTCCCAACCAGGGGGCTTGACTGCCGGTCCTTTTAGGGTTCTTAATCTCCAGTCTCAAAGCACATGTGAAAACAGTGTCCTACCTAGAAGGGAGAAGGCAGCCAGGAGCCCCCCCGCACTCACCGGTGTCTTCCAGGAGGTGTTCAGCTGAGCTGAGAAGAGTGGTCTCTGAACCGAGCCAGGGACCCCCAAAGAGCTGCAGGGAAGTTTCCAAGAAGCTCACCTTCGGGTGAATTTATAGGCGGGCGCGTGGCCACGCCTACTTCTCTGGAACCAGTAAGGGGTGGGGGGTGGGGGAGGGACAACCTAAGAGGGGTGGGGGCTAATAACTAGGGTGGGTGGGTGAAACAGACGGAAATCCACTGTGCTGACGCGTCCTCTAAGGCCCTGCACGCAAAGGGATGGGGATTAGGGACACTTTGGGCGCCCCCCCCAATTCCCAAGCACCCCCTGAGTAATGCAAAACCCAGCCGAGGTAGAGCTGGAAGGGTGGCTAGGAGGAGACGTCCCGGGAAGCTCCGAGAAAGGGTCTGCGGAACCCCCCCCTTCCCACCCCCTCATTTTGGCAGCTTTCAGAACCTTGGACGCGCCAGTGCCTCCCTGGCGCTGCCAG